GTATTGAAGGCACTTAGAGGCCGGCAGCCTTGTGGCGGAACCGTTGGGGAGAGGGGGGGGGGGAGGAGAGGGGTTTAGGAAGCGGCGGCGGGAGGGGAGCGGGGGGGTGTTTTTCATCTGGTCAGTGAATGCGCGCGTGTGTGTTTTTATTGTACGTTAGGGAGGGAAAACTGTCCAACCACGCACCGTGGGTATGCGCCTGCCGCTCTGCAGGAATTCGTGACGTGTGCGGTACGGCACCGGCGGCTGTCCCGCAGCCTCCGCCATTGCCGACACGGCGGCAGCCACCGCCCCCGTCGGCGCCAATGCCACAGGTACGGCACTAGTGGGACGCGGCGGCGATGCGCCGCCGCCGCCGCCGCCGGTGCTGACGCGGCCGCCGCCACCGCTGTTGACGACGTCGTCACTGATGCCGCCGAACCTCATTGGTACCCAATGCGAGCGTGTCGGCGACAGCGGCCGCGGCGGCAGCGGCGGTAGGCCCCCCGGCGGGCTGTCTGGCGGCGGTCCGACAACGGACACCGTTGTCGAAATAGATGACGCACGGACCAGCACGGGAGCCCCGGCGCCGGCTCCAGTAGCGGACCCAGAGCCCCTGTACGGCACAGCACTCAGCGGCCGCCAGGGCGCTGCCGTACGCGCATCACCCATGCTGCTACCGGCCTCCATGGCCGCCGTACCTGACGCGCGGCGGCGCGCGTTACTGGCGGCGGCGAGTGCAGCCGCTGCGGCGGCGCCGCCGCCAGCCCCGGCGAAAGGCATGGGACCTGCCGCCACGATCGACAGCGAAGGGGACCGGCGGCCGCCAAACGACGACCGCGGCGCGCTGGAGGGCCGTGACGCCGCCGCCGCACCGGCAGCGGTGGCGCTGCCGCCGCCGCCGCCGGCCCCCGTCGTCGATACCGGCCTCGTACGCGCCCACTGACCCGGCGGGCTCTCCCCCCGTACACGTCCCGTCCCCGCGTTGCCAGTGAGCGCCGCCAATCGCCCCTCAATTGTGGACCGGTCCGGCGACGGCGACCGCGAACCCGCCGCCGCCGCCGCCACTGCTGCAGCGGCAGCAGCGGCGGCGGCGCCGCCGCCATTGCTCCGTGCACTCACCGGTCGCGACCCCACCGCCGCCGTAACCCGCGCGCTGCCCGGTCGTAGCCAGGCACTGGGCGGGCGTTCCGATTTCCCTATAGAGCTACTGGATGGACCGAACCACGGGTCACCTGCCGCAGCCCGTGGCTGTGCTGGCAGCTGCAGCGGCGGCGGCGCTTGCGGATGTGGATGTGGATGCGGGTGGGGTTGGGGATCCTGCTGCTGCTGCTGCGGCGGCGGCTGCGACGGAAGATGCGGCCCCGCCAGCGGTGTGACGCCATACCCGGCTGCCGTACGGCCACGGGGGACGGAGGAGGCCCGGAGCAGAGGACTGTCCTCGGCGTACGGCAAGCTAGCACCTGGGTATTTACCCGGACAGGGCACCAAGTGGCCCGGGGATAAACATTTCCATCCGCACATACAAACATACAAACATACAAACATACAAACATACAAACATATACACACATACAGTTGATTCAAACACACCAACAGCTTCACAAGGCCCCAGGTCCTGGTTACATCCTTCCCTCCCCCCCCCTCCCGCACTCCCTCTCCTCCCTCCCTTCCCCGCATAAAGCTATCAGTCCATGTTTTTCTCTCCCTCTCCCTTTTTTCTTTTCCACAACACTCAGCAACACATACATACATACATACATACATACATACATACATACATACATACATACATACATACATACATACATACATACATACATACATACATACATACATACATACATACATACCAGTGTTTTTTTTTCGTGAAGGCCGATCCTGAATCTGTTACGAGTTCCGTAATAAATATGCCATCAGTCCAATACGTTTATTACTGCCAGAATTTTTTTTCTGGGGGGGCAAGCCCCCCCAGACCCCCCCTGCCCACACAGGGTACCTGATACACCAGCACTGTCATCTGGTTCTAATGTCTCTCTTGTACTCGCTATATTGTTTAAAGTGTTACCAGCATCGCCGCTACTGGGTTCTGGCCTGCCGGTGGTCAGGAATGCTTTGACGCTACCCTGACCAGCTATAGTAGTTAATTTCTTGGGCCCCATCGCTCATTTATAACTTATTTTATACTAAAATAGAACGTCTCTGGGGGCCTTCGGCCCGCCCCGGCTCCGTAACGACCGTACCAGGCCTTTACCATGGTCTATGACGGAGCGCAGAACGCAAATATGCCATTTTATTACGGAACCGTAATATATTACGGAAAAAAATACACTGATACATACATACATACATACATACATACATACATACATACATACATACATACATACATACATACATACATACATACATACATACATACATACATACATACATACATACATACATACATACATACATACACAGGGCCCCGGCCTACATCGCCCCGCGACATCATTCCCCCCATATCTCCCCCCCACCCCCCGCACCCGACACTTCTTCGGGAATCACATCAAATCCCCTGGGGGACAACTGCTGGAAGTGAACCAGCGGAGTGGGGGACCCGCCGGCAGCCGCCGCGGCAGCGGCGGCGTTGTTGGTCAGGTACGACAGCATGGAGGTGAGATTGGGTCTGGAGGCGTGCGGCTGCGGGGGTTTGCGTGGGGATAGCGGCGGTGGCGGGGGGGAAGTGTAGGACGCTGGGGCGCTGAGGGGGGAACACGTAGTGGTAGTTGTGAAGAAAGAGCAAGGGAAACTACGGCACCATTTTTCTGTACAGTCAGGCCTTTATGCTAAGACCCTAAAACCCTAAAACCCTAAAACCCCAAACCTTAAAAAACCTAAGCCTTTATGTTGGTCGCAGCCCAGGGGGATATACCGCTTGTCGTTTGCTGGCATCCCCGTCCCCGTCCCTGTCCCTGTCCCTACACATACACCCGCCCCCCTCCCCCTCCCTCCTCCCCCGCACTCCTACTTTTACTTCCTTACGGCTTGGCTTTACTGCTTTTCTCTCGCGTTTATCTTCGAGGCCCCGGACGCGAAGCGCCATTCGGGGGGCCGAGCCCCCCGGGTTCACTGCTGTCAGTCTGTCAGTCAGTCAGTCAGTCAGTGGCTTACATATCTCGCCCCGCAAAAAATAGCGTTTGAAAGCTATATCCATGTTATATCGAAATGCCAAAGGGGACATTCCAGATAAATCGGAGCGCGACAAAGATAGCTTTCCTGTAAGAGGCTGCACCAGGGCCGAGCCCCTTTTCGGCTTTGAAAAGCCGCCCCCCTAGTCCGACATCTCCTTCACTACGTCATCATCCCGAGGTCGCCGCACTTCAAGAACGCCTTTTATTCAGTTCTACGTCTGGTGTACACTCTTGCCCTGGCAGCACCTTCACTCGTTCGTGGTTCGTCTTTCCCCCTCCTTCCTCCCTCCTCCCCCGCACCCCCAGCCGCACCCCC